CGTCCTCTCCCCTTGAATTTCTTCATTCGACGAAGGAGTTCAAAACTTACTCTCTTTATCTATTTTCAGACATGACGCTTTCGACATTGACTCGTGTTTCATATGAGCCAGGTGCATGTCTGTGGATCTATGGTAGAGCTTCACATCGTAAAATCCGAAGTTCAGAGGCTCGAATCCTCAAGGAAAACTCAATATGTCTCTTTGTTATCCAACTACACTCCGTAGAGTACAAATAACGCCATATACGAGTACAAATATCACGCTGTATTTGTACTCCAGAGAACCGGTTAAACAGGTTTTCTCGCATCGCGCAAGCGAAGAATTAGATTGAAGTAACGACAAAAAATGACTGGAAAATATAGATCCAAGTTTATTGGACGAATCGAACAAAGAAAAACTGCTCGACGACCAAGAAATTTCTTCATTTATCGAAGAAAATAGAAACGCGGTAATTGCGTTCCGCGGCACTTCGCATACTTGCGTCTCGCACTCCCCGTAAATAAATATCCTTGAAATTCGCCCGCACTGAAATAACAATATGGCGTGTTGGATAAGAAATAACTTATTGGACGTTTTGTTGTGTAGCATCGCTGAGTATTTTTACTCGTTATTTGCATTTTGACTCGCTCTACGGGCTTGTCAAAATACGCTTATGACGAATAAATATGATATTTCTTTGATTTTTTCGTCTTATATTTAACTTATTTCAACCTATATGTTTAATCACTACCCGCTTAACATTGTATGTCTCTTATATCCTAACTAACTTATTCAGTTCTCACCTTAAGTCTTGTGAAAATGTGATTTTAGCCGCTACCATGTAACAAAATGCTTCACTCGCTATCACGAGCAGTTTTGATGAAGCTGAATACTATTTTAAGCATGACGAAGTCGGCAGAAACCGAAAATTATGAACTGTTTCTTTCGACTCATTCGTAAGTCATGAGTTTATTTTGCGGCTATGCCATTTCACTATTTATTTGCCAACTTGGACTCGGACGTCATATTTCAGCCTTTCATTTTCATAAATCTGAAGTATGGCACAACTATGTTAATCTTCATCCTTTTCAATTTAATTTTTTGCGCTAGTGTGGCTGGTCATTAAGAATCATGTCTTTCCAAAGGTTGTATTCAGAGCGTGAGCTCTAAGTGTAAAATCAAGATTTATTTCAGAAATGAAATCGACCAAAACCAGCCTTTCCGTTGCTATCGTCTTACTTGAAAAGAAGTGTATGGGGTGGTCTATTCTCCTCGACCCTGCTTCACGTGCCTCTTCATTGCACGCGGTTGGACTCGAAGGAAACGCCCGATGTATAAATTCGGCTCCGTTTTTTCTTCTTTTTTTTTCTTTTTTTTTTTTTGCCTTCAGTAACAAAACGCAGTTCCACTACAGCGCATGCGTGAACTGTAAGCGTATGGTTTAAAGCAATGGCTGACTTCGTGGACAATTCCTGTCTTGATGTACGCAAAAGAAATTCGATGGCTATTACGCCTAATATACATACAAAGTCACACACCGTTCGCGGTAGACGCACACTAAAGCTTGTGGAGGGTTTTGGGAACGGGTTGGTCCGCGAACTGTCACTGAGACACTGCCATCTATCAAAACACTTGGCGTTAAACTTGATAGCATGCTATCTTTCAAGGATCACATTACTAAACAGCTGCAAAAGGTATACGCTAAAAGTGGCGCACTCAGAAGAATTAGGCGTTTTGTCCCT